ATTCACTTTCGGTTTTGGAACATTTCTATTCATCATGAAATACATTTATATTTTACGCTTCGTTTGTCAAGATAATAAGCAAGTTCAACCCAACCAACCGAATAACCTAAAAGTTAGGTGAGCTGATAATAGCATGTCACTGCTAGTTGGCGAGTAATGCAAAGTTGAACTTCAATCCCACCAAAACGTTTTACATATGAAGACCATTTCGGTCGATACAAGCAACATTCGTGCATAAAACGTATTACAAGTGCATCACGGAGAGCACTAAACACTTAAAAGGCAAGGTGTCATACTGTCCTTGGCTTACAATGTTACGGCCTCTTCCGTGGCCTACAGTGGCGGAGCTCATGCTAAAGCTAATGCTAGCGATGACAGAAGCGAAACCAACGCCCGCCAAAAGTGATTCTCACCGGGCGTAGCTCCTACTGTCGTACTTGTGCCTTTTGGCTTACCTGGCGGATCGCAGATAGGGAGCGACCAATATTCCTGGAGAGACACCGGGAACTGGACAACATGTTGGCCGTGTGACAGCTGCCTGTCAGCGGACGGGAGCGGGTCAAACTGTGAGACTGGGAAGGAGGAAGTGCTGCGGGGCAAACCAAATGAACGGAACTAAGAGGGGTGTTTGAATTTTGTCAGAATGGTCTCTTCTGAAACGGACAACAGCAGCTACCTGTACTGTCACTGAGTGGCTACGAAACTGTGAATCCCACGCAAGTTCTGACAGGAAAAGCCCAGCTGAAATATGATTGGCCGCAGTCACGGAGCGCTGCAATATTGTTCAGAATAAAATACATGTGTGTTAATGTATTTTTTGATTTCACGAAGTAATTGGTTAATTAATTAAGCTTTTATATTTAAATAATTTTAAATAATGTTAAAATGGTGCAGGAATGATTATTTTATGAAGATAAACTGTTTTACAGAAAATGTAAACCTGTCAAAAAAGCATTTTTCCTGACAAATACTTGGTTAATGAATTACAGTATATTAACTACATTTTATAATACAGTAAAAAAAAATAGTACGAATTATCATTTTAATATTTCGATCAATTTACGTGTTTTACAACAAATTACATCTTTTTTCAAACCCGATCTCCAAGTGATTTGGGCCAACATGATCGTTTTACAAATCCAATGTGGCATGTAAGCACAGCAGTTAGTACGAATTATCATTTTACTATTTCGATCAAGTTACGTATTTTACAACAAATTACATCTTTTTTCTAACCCGATCTCCGAGTGATTTGGGCCAACATGTTCGTTTTACAAATCCAATGTGGCATGTAAGCACAGCAGTTTGCCCACTCCAGGGTTACACTCTTGTATTTTCCTTCATCATTTATTTATTTCCACTTATATGTTGACGCATCTTACGGAATTGAAAATATGGAGATGCACAGGTTTTCACAAGCATTGCGTGATGCTTGTTTGCAGGTCCAAGGAGCCAGCGCAGGCTGTCACTCAACTTTGCTCAAGAGTGATGCGTTCGTGGTCACGCCTCCGAGGGCACTACAATGCATCTGCTCTTGCGCTGCTCGCATCACAGAGTGCGGGAGGCCATCAGCCCGGCAACAGGTAAGGAGGATTCCTGTCACTTTAACGCACTCATTTTTCTGGTGTCCAAACCGTTCGTTCCATTGTCTTGTTGTTCTGTTTTAGAAGCTGTGATAACGTGATAGCTCAAACTTTTAACATTCTAAAAAGGTGTGCATTTCCGGTTGAAAAAAAAAAGGTTGAAATAGTCCCCCTCCCCATTAAAACATTTCTTAAATTGTAACTGGCGAAGGTTGACGGCACTTCCAGTCATTCAGTCACTTTTTTGAAAAACTGGAATTAGTAAAACAATCAAATCTTATTAGTCATTGTAATTTGAACTTTTGAATATGGAAATGTGTTCATCACCTTTGCTTTCTACAGTGTGCAGCATTGTACCTTTTTTAACTGAATTTAGGAACATAACAGTATCAGTATATTTTAATGTCTTTGTTTGTCTACACATCCAGATAGCATTACATATAAAAGAAGCGGGAATTTAAAAAAGGGTGCATGTCAAGTTGCAAATTTGACATAAACATTATCATGTAAGATACAATAACTAATCAAAACTGCAATTTTAAAGTTCCATCTACTCCAGTTGCGTTTTTTTTAAGAATGCGCATATGGTCCATGATTAATTTTGTGAAATATACAGTATGCACTTGAAATGAAAGCCACACAATGAAAATGAAAAACAGAAGGGATTTTTGTTTAATGATGACATAAAAACAGAGCATTCATGATAATTTGTCTTCTAAATGATTTAGACGCAGTGTACAATCTTGTCTTGCATGTATTTTATCCTTTGTGTTATTGGCACAATTTCAAAAGGAACAAACTGCCAATCAAAGTTTTGCTTCCTTATAGTCTTGCAAATAACAGAGTTTTGCTGATTTTGAATATGTGGAGCATTCATTTTGCGTGTCCAAGCAGTATTCAAACGCTGAATTGTCGCTCCATTTTAGTGTATAAAAACATCAGTTTATGTGTGAAGAAATTTGTAATTGTTTGTCAAGATTCTTAAACCTGTAAAAAAAAAAAAAAAAAAAAAAAATCAGACAACCACAAAAAAAGATGAGTCTTTCAGAGACTTTCATTTGTGTTATTGATATTATGACATTTTTGAATGAGTAAGGTTTTTCTTTTTGCAAATTGAGATGCATTTATTATTATTTACTAACTTAATTGTGTTGCTTGTTCCCCATCTTTTCAGATTGTGATTTTTACCAAAGCGTGTGTAGACCTCAGCAAACATGAACCTAAGTCCTTCAGACCAGAGTGTGCACAACTCCAGTGAAGGCTGTCTGGAGGATGACAAACACGGCGTCCTGCTGCCTTGCTTACGCAGAAACATCTACAATGAGCCACTTTCCTCCTACTCCAACAGCTCAATCATATCGCAACTTCTCCGAAAGAGCATGCACGGCAAAAGAGCACTTGATGAAAGCCATTTCTATCTGCCCAACTCGACTGCCACTGACTCTGGGCAGGAGGACCGTAGCAGCGTGTCGTCAAAGGACAGCACAGCGGAGGCATCCTCCCCCAATTGCCACATTTCTACAAGGTGCGGCACAGAGGGAGAGCCGCTCACGCCCGACCACCTTCAAGCTAAGCGAGCCCGTGTGGAGAACATCATCCGGGTGATGGCAGGCTCTCCCAACAACAGGGCACATGGGGACAGTGAGCGGCCCGACGTTGATTCCCGAGACCCCCGGGAATCTAGAGAGGCATACCGGGAGAATAAACGCAAGCAACGGCTACCTCAACATCAGGAGCACAGCATTGGAGGGCCGGCGAATCGAAAAGCTCAAGGTGATCGCGATGAGACGAACACCAAGGAAGACGAATGTCACAAACTAAAAGAGCAGCTCCACAGCATGCAAAAGCTTATGCGTCAGCTCCAGGAAAAATTCCTTCAAGTCTATAAGCAGGATGATGCGGATCTGGATGACAAGGCAACTGGAACCACTGATTGTCACACCCCGGTGGAAAGCTGCTACACGGGTCCTGAAGATGGTTTGGAGAGGAAGAGCAAACTGGGTCCAGAGTGTGACAACAGAATAAAAGCAGTTGGTCATCTGGCTCACCAAATAGAGAGTCAGAACCTTCGGGAAATCTTGAAGCAGGAGCTGTCCAGAGCTTTGAATGACTGCGTGGACCGGGTGTTGACCAAGGTGTCCTCATCAGGACTCGATGTGCCCTCTCAACAGCGAATGTGCCCGTCTCCAGAGGTAAAGATTAACTTTAGTGCTGGCAGAAAGAACCAAGAAGAAGGTTCAATGCAGGAGCACCTGCAGGCTGAAGAGAGTCCCACCAAGCCCCACTCTTTGGAATATTATGAGAACTCAGAGGCACACCAGGACCAGACAGAAGCGCTCTCACTGGTAGTTCGCAAACCAGTGACAACACCTCTGAGCTCAGTCACCTCCGCAGTGAAGCGGCCCTATCCTGTGCATCAGACGCCGTTCCATTTCAACTACAGTGCCCCTTTGCATGACAGTCAGATCCTGGAGCACCTTCTCAAGTACGGGCCACATTCTAACTTCGGAGCTCTCCACTGCATACCCCATTCGATGGACGGGACCTCTCCAGACTCAGTCGACCTACCTTGGGACACCATCGCCTTGAGATCCAAAGTGACACCCGGTCATCTCAGCCACCACCCTCGTCCCTCTGCCCTGGGGACTGTGACGGTCGACACTCTCTGCCTCCCTCACGTCAAACTGGAGTGTGGCGAGATGCAAAATATGGCCGAGCGAAACCCCTACATATCCCTCAACATATCCTTTTGCCAAACTAGCCATTGAGACAGAAGCTCTGCTTTTCACCTTTTTACGTGTATGATGCAGCCTGTTTCCACACATGGTAGGAGAAGTGGTTAAAGAAAATGAGAAAGTAGTCTAAAGTTTTTAGACAAATCGATCTCTGAAGAGTGAGTGGAATAATTCTGCCTGAATGCATTGTGCCATAGTCGAGTTTTGCATGGGCGTAACTCAGCCTCTCTTAACTGAATGCTATGTTGTTGTTCTTTACACCGCAAACAAGTTGAGATCAAAGCCGTAGATAGTGACATGCGTTATAAATCTATCTATCTATCTATCATGAGGGGTCTTAAATTCTACTTTTGCGGGGGACACTGAGATAGAGTCCGGGTGTGTCTGGGCCGCTTCAAGTATTCCCCAAAAAAAAACCCAAAAGGGTTTCACGTATTCAAAAAAAAAAAGAACAACTAATCTAATATTCTCTGTCTTCATTAATTGTTCAGAATAGTGGTGCTCAATCTTTTTTGCCCGAAGATCAACTTTTCAACCTCCCGCGATCGAGCCGCGAGCGCATGTGCACGCCAACACTCATGCATGCACACAGCCATGCACACAGCCATGCACACGCGCGCATACGCATGCCATGATGAGCAACAGCCATAACGGCGCTTAACGTGAATGAAACGGAAAAATAAAGTAGATACAGTAGTTTGTGAGTTTGTGAAAAGCAAGTCACTGCCTACCTCAGTAGAGACCGGACGCCGAGGCATTGGACGCACTTTTGCGGCGTGTTATGTGCAGTAACTATCATACAAACATGTTTTAAAATTCTTCTCCTGATTCTCATTCTTGGCGAGCAATAAATGAGACTGAGAATAATAAAGATATATCGCACCGCTCTGATCGCGTGCTGCAATTGCAGATTTGCTGACTGCTAACAACTTCCGGTGATGCAAATCATTCGCCACTGTAGGTTGAAGGTGACCTGAATTTTGATTTGATTAGATTTTTTTTTTTAAATACTTTTTTTGTAAAAGTGAAACTGATAGGATGCTTAGGGTGCAGTGCGCAAAACAGGAAAATATATAATATTAATAACTCTCACACAGACACACATTTTTTTTTCTCATTTCCCGCGACACACTCACGATCGATTTGGGACCAATACGTGGGCTATCGGTCGATCGCGATCGACATATTGGGCATGCCTAGTTCAGAACATTAGGGTTCTTCAGAATGTAAACAAGATTGGGAACACAGTTCTCCCTCTCTCTCATCTCCCTGGCCTGTTGCACACTCCTCACCATCGCCAAATTATGACACAGTATGTTGGTTTGCAACAAAAAAAAAAAAACCCCATTGAGTGTTCTATTTTTCTTGAAATTTACCGTTCTCAATGCCTGGGTGACAGGCTATTTTGGATCATTTGAATCGTTGTGCTGGAGGAGGGAGTCATATGAAATATCCAAGACCCTGGCCCGTGAGGAGTTTGACACCTGTGATTAAAAAAAAAAAAAATTTAAAAAAACAGGCACAAAAACACAAAACCTCAAGGATAATGACAGCAAAAACAGAGGCCGCACTAAAATTAAACTTTAACGTCAAGTTGAGGGCCGCAGTCATCCCGCGGGCTGCAAATGGACCCGCCGCGCCGTGAGTTTCAGACCCCCGATATATAGGTTCTTATTTTTGTACCCAGAGCAAGTCTATTCATTCAATGAATTGATTTCCACAGTGACTCAGGGATTGTCTCATGCTATTGTCATATTCATTAATGAAATGCAATGACATGCCCCACACACATCTGCGTAGCTCGTTTAAAACCACCAAAATCGTTATTCCGCCTGCACCACAAGTTAGACCTGGTTCTAGGCAGTCTAAAATCCACTCTACATTTGTTTGCCGAATTTTTGTGTGGCCCATATTTTACTCCTTATATTTGCCCTTCCTGATCCAACACTTACCATTTATCCAGGAATGGGATTGGTGCTGATGAATGTTGGGTGCAACGAACATAATCAAAAGAAAGCAACATCTACCACGACAAGCTGATTAGGAGCAATGAAAATAATAAGAAAAATACAATGTACAATAGCATTATTATGTACATCTCTCAGTATTCACATAAGTGTTGTAAGATCTCTTGAAAAAAATATATGTTGTTTAAAAAAAATAAGAGGCAGGTTAGGCAAGTCAATGCTAGTCTATAGTAAGTCCGTCATTATATTGACACAATGTTTGGTCGTGTGTTATGTTTTTCTGCAACCCTCACTATAATTGAGCTTTGACTCACTGGTCAGTTTTAGAATGGGCAGCGGCAGTAACTTCAAGGAGAATTTATTTCTTTGATCCCTTTCCCCCTCCCATCGAAAATTACCGCATCTTCTTTAATCTGAGCAGAGTAATGACTTCAAGTCCGCAAAAAGACAAATAAAAAGGAATACAAGGCTTTGATAAGAATTGCCAGGAACAAAAGCCCGATTTTTCAAAGGCAGAGAAAGCATCGTGTTCTGTTTCAGGAAGCATCATTTTTTTTTTTTTTTCATACTTGAAAAGGTGCAGGATCTATTTCTCCGTCATCACAGTGATGGGGGGTGCATAGAAAAGGTCACATCTGAGTGGTGGTGGAAACTACAAGTGCCTTCCAACCATAACACTTGAGCTCTTGTCTTGAGTATGTGCAATTGTGTACCTTTGTCAGAATGCACACCATTTTACAAGATGACGGCAGCGGCTTTGACTTGCGCGAACGGTGAAAGAAAGTCAGCATGAGACAAGATGCTCCATTCACTTTCATTGCCTGGACCATGCGAGTCTGATTTAGTTTGGATTACATTTATGATACCTCACATATTTTTATGCTGATTTATTTGAGCTTTCGAGTGCAAATGGTTCTGCTTCCCTTTGAACAATAGAGGCATTAATCTTTCATGCCCACGCCCTGTTTCAAAGGTAGGCTTTTCTAATTAATGTATCACGTTGTGGCCTGATGAAGACATTTCGTGACCTGAGGCATGTTGGTGGACTACAGAGGAAATGCTCCATAACGTCTTCATTGCCACAGGGGAGGACAAAAAAAAAAAAAAAAAACTAGAAACAGTATTCATTAAGTTGTTGTGAAAAGCCATCTAAAACATGTTTTAATCTAAAGCTTAAATGAGAAAAAAGTAGCCAGAAGTAAAATTCAACCGCAAGTAGCCAGAAGTAAAATTGAACCGCCTTGAACGTTTTTTTTTTTCTGAAGAAAAAGAGGGTGCGACATATGCTATATTTAAATTAGCTCCTCTTTGGTTTTAACAGCCAGCCATGAAGTGCTTTGCTCGCTAATTAAAAATCCCTAACCTAATTCGTAATTCTGTTTTGCCAATAAGCACATGTTAGGGTCATCATTGACTCGAGCTAGTCTTCAGCCAAATTAAATTTAACCGAGGATTGATGCAACACAATACTCTGCTCCACTATCACCTTGCACCGACCGCGCTGCTCTGCGTGTTCCTGTTTGTCCGTGCCTCTGCCTTAACCTGATGATGAACATCCAGGAGGGTCTCACCCCGAGTCACTTGAAGAAGGCCAAACTGATGTTCTTCTACACTCGCTACCCCAGCTCCAATGTCCTGAAGACATTCTTCCCTGATGTCAAGGTAATATGCTGTATCTCACATTTAATAACCCCTCACAACGGTTTCTCCTGCGTTGAAACTCCCCGGTATCAACTTGTCAGTGTGTGTTTGGGACCGAAAAGAGCCGCAGTGTGTCGGAGGAGAGAGACAAAAACGCAGAGGGTTTAAATAACAAAGCCGCTGAGCTGCTAGTGTGTCCTGGGGGCAAAGGGAGATACAGAGCCATTCTCTTGTTGAAAAAAAGCTACTCCAGTCAGCAAATGGGGTGACAAAGGACTCTGTAGGCAAGGCATTGCTATTGAGTGTCAACAGAGTTGGTATTAGAGACTTGCTGGCCCTAAACACAACATCCTGTTGGCCTCGGTCGAGTGTCTCTAGCTGTTCTTAGTGGCCGGCATCCGTTCTTTTTGTCTTTGCATCGCTTCTTTTCACATCATGCGTGCCGCATGAAAATTTCTCCCAAATGCTTCTTCTGTCGCCGTTCGTCATCCCTCATCCTCCCTCAGTCTGGGCCCCTGCTTCCCAATCTATGTTGACCCCCGGGTCATGGGGGAGGATGCTGTGGCGGCGGCCTGCGAACGTCTCCTCCTTGCTTACAATCCGGTGGTGGGAAGTGGCACCGAACAAAAGAGCGCTTAATCCCAGTGTCTGATTCCATCCTATCAGCCCGAGTCAGCGAGAGGGAAGCTTCCTTCTGTCCTTACCGCGTGGCGTTCACACCCACCACACCAGCGGGAAGAAACGTCTTTGATGCCTGCCCAGCCCTTAGGCCTTTTTTTTCCCCTCTTTCACTCATCTTTCTGGATGACGAGATAGAACAACACGGCTAATGTCAAGACTGCGATTAGAAATACACAGGCCTGGCAGGTGTTTTCTTTTACTCTGGACAATGATGGGAAAAGATCAACGCAATTTGTGTCTCGTGTAAATAGGCTGACAGACTTATTAGCTGGAATTTTGCCCCACAGGTATTGAACGCAAATTAGGACTGTCGGTTATTACGAGAGCCTTCAATAACACACATCTGCCACAGAGTCCATTTAATTGATTTGATTTCAAAGCATAGAGCTTTATCATTTTAATTGAAATGAGGTATTGGATAACAATCGACCCGAAAAGTAGTCATTTTCTTTTGTCTTCTCATATTTCATTGAAGTATTTTGTATATATATATATATATATATATTTTTTTGGTTTGTCTCCAGTTCAATCGCTGCATCACATCTCAGCTGATCAAATGGTTTAGTAACTTCAGGGAGTTCTATTACATCCAAATGGAGAAGTTTGCCCGCCAAGCCATCGTCGACGGCATCAGTGAAGTCAAAGACATCACAGTCAGCAGAGACTCCGAGCTATTCCGTGCACTCAACATGCACTACAACAAGGCCAACGACTTCCATGTGAGTGCTCCTCGTTGCTCAATAAGTCATCTTTTATATTCCATGTTATATTGTTACCTCAGCCTGGGAGGTTACGGTTTCATCGACATGGGTTTGTCATCCCATCAGGTCAGGGTTGTTTTTTTTCTTTTTAAGTGTGTAAAACATTTTTTTCTTCTATCCAGAAGAAATGATTGCTGATGAGCTGATCATTTGAATCTGATGTGTTGGAGCAGGCAGACATTTAAGACACGCAGGACAGCGGCCCTCGAGGACCAGAGCCGCTTTAGATGTGCAAGATCATTCGCAACCTTCATTGTTGCTGAGACAGTACTAAGCCCAGGTCTAAAATCGGACTAAAAAAAAAAAGAGAAGAAAACAAATGTGATTGTTTTTCAAACGTTTGGCAAAAACACGGCAATTGTCTACTCATGCCCTGCGATTGGCTGGCGACTGCGGTGAACCTCTTCACTCACTTAGAATTAACTTTTGAAAGGCTCCGTCTCAATGAGGGCTGTAAGTGGATGGATTCCATCGTTAAAAAAAATATCAATTTACATATTAATTTAGATGAACTGGAGACTATCCCTCGAGGATGTACTTTGCAACTTCCAGGTCAGCTACCAAACATTGTCTCCTGACAAGTGATACATTTTATGGTTATGCCACACTTGTTTGTGAGAATTTTTCTGATGTTGCCATGAGGGACCACTTCAAAGATTGCAAGTCAAAGTGTTTAGTAAGAAAACAAGGCTAATTGAAGTAGAGACACTGTCTTTCAAATTAATTCATGGTTCATTCGCCTTTATTTTTGCATAAGCTTAAGTTCAAAACATGGATGTATAATAAATTAGAATTTATTGCTTGTGTTTCCTAAAAAATACAGAGGATCAGGACCTTGAAAAAAAGAATCGCATATTAAATTGCAATCTCAATATTGAGGGAGGGGGGGGGATTGTTTATTTTCCAAAACCGTTCATCCATGTATAGGAATAAATATAGAAAAATGGAGAGACAGCCACTAGATTAGAGGAAGAATAGCCACATCAGCATATTTGTTATTACCTGGCAGAGGCATGTCACAGTTCCTGCACGTGACTCACTGCTCACCTATGTCCTCCTACTGACCCTTGTGTCACACTGCACCTGTGGCTTTGCCGCCGAGGCCGAGATTGCTACTGATGCGGAATGCTGAGAAAGACGCTGTGGATCGCGAGGCAGAAGGCCACTCAGTGGGAAAGGGATGGGACCGTTTTCTTTACCTTGGCACTAAGACATTCCTTTCCCAGGGATGCTTTGTGTCAGGAGATGAGGGCAAAGAAAAATAACTTCTGCTCACAAACTAGTGCTGACCGCCTGGCCAGTTGATGGGAAACGAGGCGGTTTTCACCCAGCATCTCTTGTAAATGCATCTCATGTGTGTAAGTGCTGATACGATTGTAATTGAGCAATGATTCGCAATCGCAACAGCATCGTCGTATCAGTATTTCAATTTCCATGTTTCAGTTGTAATGACTGTGCTTCTAAATAAAAGGAAATAAAAAATAATATTTAAAAAAAAAACGAAATTTTTGCCTAACACTTAACAGGGATTGAGCACTTGACTGAAATTTCTAATTTCCCTAATTGATCGTGGGCTAAATTAACTCGCAAAATTATTTTAGAAGGTGGGAAGTACTACGGGCGGTGTTTTCGATCCAGAACATTCGTTTACCGCAATAATCTTGCAATGAAAAGGTTGTCATTGCTTTAGATTTATTATGGTCATGATGATGATGACGATGATGATAATGATTAGTGGCAGGAATAATAGAATTTAACAGTAACAGTCCTAGCAATCGATTTATGGATGACTAATCACTCTCTCCTCCAGTGTACAAACTGAAGAAAAGCTTCAAATTTAGTCTTCTCGTCAGATCAAGTCAGGCTAATTCAAGCAGCGTTTGTTATGAAGAATTGCTGCACTGCATTTGTCATCGCATGATGATGAAAACAAAAATATGTGCTCATTTTCATCAGCTAGACTAGTGATTCCAAACCGAGGTGCCTTGGCACACGAGTGTGCCGTGAGGTCCTCAGGAGTGCCGCAGGAAAGTATTTTAGTTTCATCAGCTCGTTCGTCAAACCTGATGGAGCATTTTAGTTTCTATTTTAACCTCTACGTAGCTACACCGTCTTTACGCAGTCTCTCCTCCTCCTTTCTTTCCCAGGTTCCAGACAAATTCCTCGAGGTTGCTGAAATTACTTTGCATGAGTTTTACAAAGCCATTTCTGTGGCCAAAGACTCAGACCCATCTTGGAAAAAGGCCATCTACAAGGTCATCTGTAAACTGGACAGTGACGTCCCAGATGAGTTCAAGACATCCTCCTATTTGTAGGGCAAAGCGGAAAAACACGGTGACAGAAATACTGTCGGAACTGCTGACAGGGGGGAAGTTTGTCACATGAGTATTTTGATCATTTCGTTGTAGTGCTTTTTACTAGTGAAGTGAAACGTAGTTGTTGGATGATGTTGGATGACTATGGTAGTTTGTTAATATTCTTGTGGCATCAGACGAAACGAATTATTCATGCTTGTTGTGTATTATACAGTTTGTGTTTACTTCCATAATCTGCATCGGTACAATTAGACAGTTGTTCAGTTTGTAGTTGTTCGATTTGTTTACAATAATGGAATCCATCTTTTCCATCTCCGTCAACTCGGGGGCGACTGCGGTGAACCTCTTCACTCACTTAGAATTAACTTTTGAAAGGCTCCGTCTCAATGAGGGCTGTAAGTGGATGGATTCCATCGTTAAAAAAAATATCAATTTACATATTAATTTAGATGAACTGGAGACTATCCCTCGAGGATGTACTTTGCAACTTCCAGGTCAGCTACCAAACATTGTCTCCTGACAAGTGATACATTTTATGGTTATGCCACACTTGTTTGTGAGAATTTTTCTGATGTTGCCATGAGGGACCACTTCAAAGATTGCAAGTCAAAGTGTTTAGTAAGAAAACAAGGCTAATTGAAGTAGAGACACTGTCTTTCAAATTAATTCATGGTTCATTCGCCTTTATTTTTGCATAAGCTTAAGTTCAAAACATGGATGTATAATAAATTAGAATTTATTGCTTGTGTTTCCTAAAAAATACAGAGGATCAGGACCTTGAAAAAAAGAATCGCATATTAAATTGCAATCTCAATATTGAGGGAGGGGGGGGGATTGTTTATTTTCCAAAACCGTTCATCCATGTATAGGAATAAATATAGAAAAATGGAGAGACAGCCACTAGATTAGAGGAAGAATAGCCACATCAGCATATTTGTTATTACCTGGCAGAGGCATGTCACAGTTCCTGCACGTGACTCACTGCTCACCTATGTCCTCCTACTGACCCTTGTGTCACACTGCACCTGTGGCTTGCCAGCCTTCCCCGCCATTATCCCAACCCCCGAAAAGCTTCAAATTTAGTCTTCTCGTCAGATCAAGTCAGGCTAATTCAAGCAGCGTTTGTTATGAAGAATTGCTGCACTGCATTTGTCATCGCATGATGATGAAAACAAAAATATGTGCTCATTTTCATCAGCTAGACTAGTGATTCCAAACCGAGGTGCCTTGGCACACGAGTGTGCCGTGAGGTCCTCAGGAGTGCCGCAGGAAAGTATTTTAGTTTCATCAGCTCGTTCGTCAAACCTGATGGAGCATTTTAGTTTCTATTTTAACCTCTACGTAGCTACACCGTCTTTACGCAGTCTCTCCTCCTCCTTTCTTTCCCAGGTTCCAGACAAATTCCTCGAGGTTGCTGAAATTACTTTGCATGAGTTTTACAAAGCCATTTCTGTGGCCAAAGACTCAGACCCATCTTGGAAAAAGGCCATCTACAAGGTCATCTGTAAACTGGACAGTGACGTCCCAGATGAGTTCAAGACATCCTCCTATTTGTAGGGCAAAGCAGAAAAACACGGTGACAAAAATACTGTCGGAACTGCTGGGGGGGCGGGGGAGTTTGTCACATGAGTATTTTGATCATTTCGTTGTAGTGCTTTTTACTAGTGAAGTGAAACGTAGTTGTTGGATGATGTTGGATGACTATGGTAGTTTGTTAATATTCTTGTGGCATCAGACGAAACGAATTATTCATGCTTGTTGTGTATTATACAGTTTGTGTTTACTTCCATAATCTGCATCGGTACAATTAGACAGTTGTTCAGTTTGTAGTTGTTCGATTTGTTTACAATAATGGAATCCATCTTTTCCATCTCCGTCAACTCGGGGTGGGGCTTCGACTATATCTCCATTATCTAATATGGGAGAAGTTAATTCACTGTTATTGAAGAATATTAAGAGTCATCCCAGAATCGAAGCACATTTAGGCTTCAAGATTCTTGAAAAATAAGGAGACTATCCCTCGAGGATGTACTTTGCAACTTCCAGGTCAGCTACCAAACATTGTCTCCTGACAAGTGATACATTTTATGGTTATGCCACACTTGTTTGTGAGAATTTTTCTGATGTTGCCATGAGGGACCACTTCAAAGATTGCAAGTCAAAGTGTTTAGTAAGAAAACAAGGCTAATTGAAGTAGAGACACTGTCTTTCAAATTAATTCATGGTTCATTCGCCTTTATTTTTGCATAAGCTTAAGTTCAAAACATGGATGTATAATAAATTAGAATTTATTGCTTGTGTTTCCTAAAAAATACAGAGGATCAGGACCTTGAAAAAAAGAATCGCATATTAAATTGCAATCTCAATATTGAGGGAGGGGGGGGGCTGTAAGGATGTCTGCACCGCACCGCAGTACGATCGAGAACATACTCTTCTCTGCAACAAGAACACTTCCTGTTTTCCGTTTCTTCAGCCAATCAGAAGCTATCAACATTTTTCCAAAACCGTTCATCCATGTATAGGAATAAATATAGAAAAATGGAGAGACAGCCACTAGATTAGAGGAAGAATAGCCACATCAGCATATTTGTTATTACCTGGCAGAGGCATGTCACAGTTCCTGCACGTGACTCACTGCTCACCTATGTCCTCCTACTGACCCTTGTGTCACACTGCACCTGTGGCTTGCCAGCCTTCGCCGCCATTATCCAAACCCCAGAGTGACGCTTTGTCACACTGTGGGAAGAGGAAGCCGCAAAATCCCACTAAAACAACTCCGGATTAGAGGACCCGTACGCCTGAGCGAGGCCGAGATTGCTACTGATGCGGAATGCTGAGAAAGACGCTGTGGATCGCGAGGCAGAAGGCCACTCAGTGGGAAAGGGATGGGACCGTTTTCTTTACCTTGGCACTAAGACATTCCTTTCCCAGGGATGCTTTGTGTCAGGAGATGAGGGCAAAGAAAAATAACTTCTGCTCACAAACTAGTGCTGACCGCCTGGCCAGTTGATGGGAAACGAGGCGGTTTTCACCCAGCATCTCTTGTAAATGCATCTCATGTGTGTAAGTGCTGATACGATTGTAATTGAGCAATGATTCGCAATCGCAACAGCATCGTCGTATCAGTATTTCAATTTCCATGTTTCAGTTGTAATGACTGTGCTTCTAAATAAAAGGAAATAAAAAATAATATTTAAAAAAAAAACGAAATTTTTGCCTAACACTTAACAGGGATTGAGCACTTGACTGAAATTTCTAATTTCCCTAATTGATCGTGGGCTAAATTAACTCGCAAAATTATTTTAGAAGGTGGGAAGTACTACGGGCGGTGTTTTCGATCCAGAACATTCGTTTACCGCAATAATCTTGCAATGAAAAGGTTGTCATTGCTTTAGATTTATTATGGTCATGATGATGATGACGATGATGATAATGATTAGTGGCAGGAATAATAGAATTTAACAGTAACAGTCCTAGCAATCGATTTATGGATGACTAATCACTCTCTCCTCCAGTGTACAAACTGAAGAAAAGCTTCAAATTTAGCCTTCTCGTCAGATCAAGTCAGGCTAATTCAAGCAGCGTTCGTTATGAAGAATTGCTGCACTGCATTTGTCATCGCATGATGATGAAAACAAAAATATGTGCTCATTTTCATCAGCTAGACTAGTGATTCCAAACCGAGGTGCCTTGGCACACGAGTGTGCCGTGAGGTCCTCAGGAGTGCCGCAGGAAAGTATTTTAGTTTCATCAGCTCGTTCGTCAAACCTGATGGAGCATTTTAGTTTCTATTTTAACCTCTACGTAGCTACACCGTCTTTACGCAGTCTCTCCACCTCCTTTCTTTCCCAGGTTCCAGACAAATTCCTCGAGGTTGCTGAAATTACTTTGCATGAGTTTTACAAAGCCATTTCTGTGGCCAAAGACTCAGACCCATCTTGGAAAAAGGCCATCTACAAGGTCATCTGTAAACTGGACAGTGACGTCCCAGATGAGTTCAAGACATCCTCCTATTTGTAGGGCAAAGCAGAAAAACACGGTGACAAAAATACTGTCGGAACTGCTGGGGGGGCGGGGGAGTTTGTCACATGAGTATTTTGATCATTTCGTTGTAGTGCTTTTTACTAGTGAAGTGAAACGTAGTTGTTGGATGATGTTGGATGACTATGGTAGTTTGGTAATATTCTTGTGGCATCAGACGAAATGAATTATTCATGCTTGTTGTGTATTATACAGCTTGTGTTTACTTCTATAATCTGCCTCCGTACAATTAGACAGTTGTTCAGTTTGTAGTTGTTCGATTTGTTTACAATAATGGAATCCATCTTTTCCATCTCCGTCAACTCGGGGTGGGGCTTCGACTATATCTCCTTGATCAAATATGGAAGAAGTTAATTCAATGTTATTGAAGAATATTAGAGTCATTCCAGAATCTAAGCACATTTAGGCTTCAAGATTCTTGAAAAATAAGTCTTTACTGTTCCGATTTTCTGCGACATATTCATTGATCATAATTACAAATAATAGATTCTTAACTCTCAGCATTGGAGTTACAATCAAGGTTGCAGGTAGCAAGTTTGCAAGTCCGGACAAGCGTTAGATTTTTCTCCGAAGTAGAAGCTAGCTGTGCAGCTAGCTGTTTTGTTTTTAAATTTACAAATAAAAATGTAAGTTGAGGGGTTCATTGTTTTTGAATGGATGGCTCTACTTTACGAAACGGCAAAAGGAGAGATGGATTCCGTTTGAACACAGCTTTACTGAAAGGATGTCCGCACCGCACCGCAGTACGATCGAGAACACACTCTTCTCGGCAACAAGAACACTTCCTGTTTTGTGTTTCTTCAGCCAATCAGAAGCTATCAACATACAAACATGTCTGCGCAATTATTAAACAACAGAATAAATTGGAGCTATTCTTAACATGAAATAATATGATCCTCAAACAGGATATGATCATAATTAATAATATAACATAAGCTTACACAAATATGAAAAATAGAAGAGAGGACATACGACAATGCTAAAAAGGTTATGGTAACAGCGTTGTGGGACATGTTTTATTGAAGTAAACAAGGAGCTCAACGTTCCTTTTGTGTTGTTCTTCTTTAGACCACAAAGTAATTGAGACTAAATCAACAACAGCGTCTCCGTCTCCGCTGGCCTCCATCACCAACAATTAAATTCCAATTCATAATTGTAAACAAGAATTCATGGATTTAC